AAGTGATGATGGTGGTTTGGATGGTGATACTATAAGGAGGATGCTGGTGCTATAATGATACTGGTGATGATGCTGATGAGGATGATGATGCTGATGCTGCTGATGATGATGCTAGTGATCGTGATGAGGGTGGTGACGGTGATGATGAGGAGGAGGAGGAGGAAGAGGAGGAGGGGAGGGGGAAGATGAGAACGATGTTAATGGTAATTGTGGTGATGATGAGGCTAGCGCCTCTGCAGCTGCAGATTGTGATGCTGATGCTGATGCTGCTGCGGCTGCTGCTGCGGCTGCTGCTTCTGCTGATATTGTCGATGATGGTGATGATGATGATGATGATGATGCTGATGTTGATGATGATCTTGCTGATGACGATTTGATAACCATTCGGATGAATACAGCACGGGCGGAGTGCTCATGCGAGGAGAACGCGGGAAAGAGGAGGAGGAGGTGGATGAGGATGAGGATGATGATGATGCTGATGATGATGATGATGCTGATGATGATGATGGTGATGATGATGATGATGCTGATCATGATGATGATGATGATGATGATGATGATGATGATGATGATGATGATGATGTTGATGTTGATGATGATGATGCTGCTGATGACGATGATGATAATGATGATGCTGATGATGCCGATGATGATGACGATGCTGGTGGTGATGATGATAACTAGGATGAGGATGAGGATACTGATGATGATGAGGATGAGGATGGTGATGACATTGGTGAGGATGAGGCTGGTGCTGATGATGATGGTTACGACGATGATGGAGGAGGAGGAGGAGGAGGAGGAGGAGGAGGAGGAGTTTGATGGGGAATACGACGCAGGGGAAGCATGGGGTTCGGAAGAGGAGGGAGCTTTCGAAGAGGGGGAGGATGAGGAGGAGGAAGATGAACGAATAGGAGCATGAGGAGGAGGAGGAGGAGGAGGAGGAGGAGGAGGAGGAGGAGAGAGGAGCGGAAGAGGAGGGGAAGATGAGAGAGGAGGAGGAGTGAGGAGGAGGAGGAGGAGGAGGAGTTGGAGGGGGAGGAGGCGGAGGAGGAGGAGGAGGAGGAGGAGGAGGAGGAGGAGGAGGAGGAGGAGGACAAGGAGGAGGAGTGGTAGGAGAAGGACGAAGAGGGATTGGAGAGCTGTAGCCGGCGCCATGGTGCATACGCCCGCAGGGCCCATGCTGGTGGGGGGATCCGACCGCCCAGAGCTCCCGCCTGTAACACGTTCCACCTACGAATATTTTACCAGAGCTCCGCGCGGATGGATTGGATCGGCGCGAGGCTTGCTGGCGGCGCCGCCCAACGCGCGCTCCGCGTGCCAAGGAGGGGGGTCCAGCGCCGATCGAAGATTTCTCGCGGACCGTCGAACGGTTCTGTTTATGTAGTTCCCCACATCCTGAGTGGGGTTCTTGTTTTCCCAGAACACCCTCTCCTTCCCACCCACCTCCCGCTCCATCTTCCATACAGCACAATATTATTCCTACCACACACACCATACCATACCATAGTTCCATACCACATACCATACCATACCATACCATACCACACCATACGTACCATATCGTACCATACCATACCATGGCGTACAGCACAATATTATTCCTCACAACCATTTCCTACCACAACCATACCATCAGTTCCTACCACACATACCATACCCATACCATACCATACCATCACCATGGCGTGCCCTACCCCAAGGAGGCCCCGCCTGAGCGAGGAGGGTATCGGAATACCATACTATTTACATGGTTTCGTGCCCCTCCCACCTCTCCAGGGAGGCCCCGCCTGAGCGAGGAGGGTATCGGAATACCATACTATTTACATGGTTTCGTGCCCCTCCCACCCCTCCAGGGAGGCCCCGCCTGAGCGAGGAGGGTATCGGAATACCATACTATTTACATGGTTTCGTGCCCCTCCCATGTTTCGTGCCCCTCCGAGGAATACCTCCAGGGAGGCCCCGCCTGAGCGAGGAGGGTATCGGAATACCATACTATTTACATGGTTTCGTGCCCCTCCCACCCCTCCAGGGAGGCCCCGCCTGAGCGAGGAGGGTATCGGAATACCATACTATTTACATGGTTTCGTGCCCCTCCCACCCCTCCAGGGAGGCCCCGCCTGAGCGAGGAGGGTATCGGAATACCATACTATTTACATGGTTTCGTGCCCCTCCCACCCCTCCAGGGAGGCCCCGCCTGAGCGAGGAGGGTATCGGAATACCATACTATTTACATGGTTTCGTGCCCCTCCCACCCCTCCAGGGAGGCCCCGCCTGAGCGAGGAGGGTATCGGAAACCATACTATTTACATGGTTTCGTGCCCCTCCCACCCCTCCAGGGAGGCCCCGCCTGAGCGAGGAGGGTATCGGAATACCATACTATTTACATGGTTTCGTGCCCCTCCCACCCCTCCAGGGAGGCCCCGCCTGAGCGAGGAGGGTATCGGAATACCATACTATTTACATGGTTTCGTGCCCCTCCCACCCCTCCAGGGAGGCCCCGCCTGAGCGAGGAGGGTATCGGAATACCATACTATTTACATGGTTTCGTGCCCCTCCCACCCCTCCAGGGAGGCCCCGCCTGAGCGAGGAGGGTATCGGAATACCATACTATTTACATGGTTTCGTGCCCCTCCCACCCCTCCAGGGAGGCCCCGCCTGAGCGAGGAGGGTATCGGAATACCATACTATTTACATGGTTTCGTGCCCCTCCCACCCCTCCAGGGAGGCCCCGCCTGAGCGAGGAGGGTATCGGAATACCATACTATTTACATGGTTTCGTGCCCCTCCCACCCCTCCAGGGAGGCCCCGCCTGAGCGAGGAGGGTATCGGAAACCATACTATTTACATGGTTTCGTGCCCCTCCCACCCCTCCAGGGAGGCCCCGCCTGAGCGAGGAGGGTATCGGAATGTCATACTATTTACATGGTTTCGTGCCCCTCCCACCCCTCCAGGGAGGCCCCGCCTGAGCGAGGAGGGTATCGGAAAACCATACTATTTACATGGTTTCGTGCCCCTCCCACCCCTCCAGGGAGGCCCCGCCTGAGCGAGGAGGGCATCAAGAAAATGGGTCCCACAAAACCGTTAATCTCTTTATGTGGGGATCTCCGTTAGCATAATTTTTTCTTCCCCCACTGATTGCTGAAAGCAGCCTCAGGCAGCCTCTGCGGCCCATGGTGCACACCGTGAGTGAGAGGAGAGGTTGTGTCGCTGGACGGGCTGGACCTCAGGCCTGGTGTCTTGGCGCTTCGGGAGGTGGAGGACGGCGAGCGGGGGTGAGGAGTGGGAGAAAGGAGTACTTACAGGAAGAAGGGGATAGGACATCGGTGCAGGGAGACAAGGAAGAGGAGAAAGATGAGGAGGTGGTGGAGGAAGAGAAGATGACGGAGGGGAAGACGGAGAATGAGCAGAATGGTGGTGATCAGGAGGAGCGTTGGCATCACGATGATCAGCAGCAGGGTCAAGAGGAAGCTTCAGGGAACGAGGATGGGGTGGAGAAGAACCAGAGTGAATTCATGATGGATGACAGACGCTTCAATACACCGTTCCGTACCAAGCTTTTTCGTAATTGCGGTTAGCTATTTATTGGAAGACGATTGCCCCATGATTTGTTATTATGACGGCAGTTTCATTTTGACAAGGAGCCGTTCTCCATCGTTGTCGATAGCCGATTTCAACACGTATGGCCATGTAATTGAAGAGAGTGTCCGGCGATAGCCGCAATCTGAACACACACCGCCTTCCATCAGTTCAGCCGTTGCATTTTTATTTCACGGGGGCATGATTTCAGAGGGCGTCTCAAGTGGGAGTGAAGTCTTGAATGACGTCTTCCATTCGAGTAGTTCTTGAGTTTCCATTTGTGACGTTGCGGTATTCCTGTGCAAGTTCCAAGCAAGGCGCCACACTTAGCAAGTGCCGCCTCGCCGCTGTGCAACATTGCAAGCAGCAAGCAGGACGAACGCGCGGATGGTGACCTTTGCGACCGCTTTTCCTCCCCTCGCGATACCAGCTTACAACGTCTGCGTCTAGGACACGGGCGCAATCCTGTGATCACGGTGCGTGGAGCGCTCGTTGTATTGGGGCCACCGGAAAACGCACAAGCAAATCAGGACAACCGTGCGCTGCGCCACGGCGAGAGTCGCATCCTAAGAACGATCTGCGTCTCATCCATGTAGCAGCGTTGGGCATATGAGGCGAATGCGCTCGGCGCTCAGGCGAGGGCAGCGTCTCAGAGTAACCGGCCCACCATCCGTGCTGCTGTTGGAAGATGTGAGGCGAATGCGCACGGCGGTGACGCAGGATACGTCTTGAAGACGGTTTGCTTCTCTGAAGTCTCAGGCGAAGCGCCCAGCCCCGCCCTACCGACATGTTTGGTGGCGCGGTGGGTATCACATGCTAATATGGAAGAGGGACAGGGGTGTGCGGAGGGGGGGGGGGCGGGCGGGAGGAGTAAGCAAGGGGAGTCTTGTTCAGCGGGACTCTCTCTCTTATTCTTTTTCGTTTTCCTGCTCCTCCGCCTCTCTTCTCTCTTCCTTCCCCTCTCCTCATCCAATATTGTTGCTATGCGCGCTGCCAGCAATACTGCTGCGAGCACCACCGTGTGGCGTGCAGCGAGTTCGATTGCAACGAAGGCTGGCGGGCATTCGAATGGATGCGAAGGTCAGGTCAGCAGGGATCGCACAGGCCGGGACAGTAGCAGACTTGCTTTTGCACGCGCACAGACATGGCTTCATGTTTGGTTGTTCAACACAATTCATCCATGGCCATGTTCTGTTCCGTCTTCTCTTTCACACGGTGTCTTCGAGAGTAGTTTTTTACTACAACCGGGCGATACTGGGCGTTACGGGGGGATGGGGGCGGGGGGCATGTAACGTCACGTTTGGCGTTGGTGCCGTCTGGTGATGCCTAGGAATTACCAAAGACAGTTCGGAGGTCAGCACGAATCGTGACGTTACATGGGGGGAGGGATGGCGGGGGCGGCCAGGGCTGGTAACGGCCGCTAGGTCTGTGCAGTCTTATTTCCCTCGTTTTTTGCATTTAACCGCTGAGGGAGTGTCGGCATGGGACAGCGCGCTGCAGGCAACCGCTGCAGATTCTAGACGCTTCGCGTATCCCCACCGGTTGCCGACCCGCTCTCTGGAACCGTCCTTGGAGCCGCAGCTCAAAAAAGTGTCCCCACCGGCGCCGTTGGTGCAGCTTGGGCTTGGCGCCCCACTGGCGACGGCCCATCGTTTACCACGATTGGCCGCCACAGCGCGTAACACAGAATTCCCGAGCATTTTGCCGCAGGGCTGCACGTTGCTTGAGCTTCCCAGGGCGTTCCAGTTCAGCCAGCCAGCCCCCCGCTGCCGCTGCCCCAGCTGCCGCGTTTGTGAGCTGGCCCGGCCGGCTCGTGCTGCGCTCTGTAGCTTCTCGCGCCCTGTAGCTAATTAGGCTTGCCCGTCGGCCCGGTCACCCTGCTCGCCGCCTGCGCTCTTCGCTTGCGGCCGCGACCAAAAAAGAATACCCCCACCGGCGGGGACTTGGTGTGCGACTTTGGTGGCGCCACCCGATGCACCAGTTTTGGGCCAGTTTGGGCACCCTTAGCAATCGTCGCAGCGTGCTGGCTGACTGCCTCCCTGGTCACATCCTGGTACGACCCTCGCGCCATTTTGGCAGCGCCCCAACCCTGGTTGGCTAATCTTGCATGTGCGCGCCCCTGGACCTGGTCCGTGGCAGCTGCAGCCTGCACCCCCCTCACGCCGGCCCGCCCGCCGAGGCGCTGCTGAGGTCGCCGGCCCGTGGGCGTTAGGCAAGTCGGCTCTTGCGCGGCACGCTCGGACCTGACTCGCCGCTGGCGCCCTCGCCTGCGGTCGCGACAAAAAGTATCCCCACCAGCCGTGTGGTTGATCCTGCGTCATGTTCTACGCGCCCCCGGCGGTCGCTTGTCAGCCTCGCTGTTTGCGACCCTGCCGCGGCATTTTTTCTGCGTGTTGCTCTTTGGCTCCATTCGTGCATCGGCGCTGCCCTCGGATCCAGGTCCTGGTCCTGGTTGCAGTCTGCATCGCCCGCCGACAAGGTTTCGGGCCGTGTCCCGCTTCCTGGCTGCCCCTCGCGCCGCCCGGCATCCTAGGCAGCTTGGGCAGGTTGGTTTCGGCCGCCGGTCCCCGCGCGCTGAGCAATTGGCTCCGTTCGCAACCCGAGCCGACTCGACTCGCCGCCGGCGCCTTCGCCTGCGGTTGCGACAAGAAAACATTTCAACCAGCCCATCCAGAAACGACGCCCAGGCGAGTAGAGGGCCGTCCTGAGGAGCTTTTCGGCGTCTTGGGTGCCTCGGGGGGGCCTCTGGTGGGCCGCTTGGGATCCTCCTGGGGGCCTCTTGGGGGCCTCTTGGGGCCATCTTGAGGCACTTCTGGGGCCTCCTGGGCGCTTCTTGGGGCCATCTTGGAGGAGATCGGTCAACCAAGGGGGGTTCCTTAATTAGGATCTTCCCCCCCCAGGAGGCCAAAATGGGGCCAAAACCTTTTTGTAAAATCGGTGATTTTGGTTTCCTCGCCGAGGCTGTTTGGGACGCCCTGACACTTCCCCGCCCGCCCCCTCCAGGCCCACGGGGAGGGGGCAGGGGGAGGGGTAAGCCCCTCCCCGAGGGGGAAAAAGGAGGGGCGGAAGAGGAAACGCTCTAAACCACCGACGCCCAAAGGGCTGGCGGGATTATGTTACAAACGCGAAGGGAGGCCTATGGCGACGAAAACAAACAGGGGGGACGGGGGAGGCAGGGCGGGGCAGGGGGACAGCCGATGCACCAGATTAGCTCGGTGCCTCCAGCGCGCCTGCGCGCGCGGCGCGTCGGGAGCGCAGGGCCGCCCGCCCCGCGTCGGCGGCAGCAGGAGCAACGCGCCCACGCGCGACGGCAGGGCGGGGTACCAACCGCGCATAAGCGAGCAGCCAGGGCGACCCACCGCGGCGCCGTGCAGCCTTATTGCATGCAGGCTACCCAGCCGGGCCTCTGCGAGGCGGCGTGGGCTCGCCAGGACTCTCCGCCGAAGAGCACCTGGGCGGCCGCCGCCGCGAGCCGCGGCGGTGGGTGCCGCAGGGGCTGCGGGGCCCGCGGCGCTGCTGGTGGCGGCCCCACGCCAACGGCCGTCGCGCGTCGCCAGCATGCCCTGCGACGGACCGTCGACCAGCGGCGCCGCACCCAGGGCCTGCCTGGCGCGGTGCAGTCGTGGTTGGTTTTCAAGACCATCGGCTCGACCGCCGTCAAAGCCCGCTGTGCCCCCTCCAGCGCCTGCAGTTGCCGCTCGCGCTGCCGGAGCCTCTGGAGCAGCGTCGGGGCGGGCAGGCGCGCTCGCGCGGCCGCTGAAGCTAGCCTGTCGGCGGTCGCGCTTCCGGCATGGTCTTCTAAGGATAGACCATTCCCCCGCGCCCCCTCCTCGTCCCGGTGGTCCTTGACCCGGCGGGCCCTTAGCCACTCGGCCTGGCAGGGAGGGGCCAGCTGGTCCCAGAGGTTAGCGTGCGACCGCTCCAGGGGCGCAGCCCCGCCCCGAAACGCCGCCACGCCGTTGTTCACGTAGTCCGAATCCGTGATGACCTCGGCCGGCCCTCCGGCCATCCCAAGCGCGTGCAATGCAGCCGAGAGCTCGGCGCGATGCGCGGTCTGCTCGCCATCTTCAGGGCCCCCTGCGCCCCAGCGTGTCGGCAGGGTGCTCCACGCGCGCGTTCCAGCCCCCCCTGGCCAGCAGAGGGTCAGCCGGGTGCAAGCATGAGCCGTCGGTCCGCGCCCGACGCCCGCGTCCGCTGACCCACGACTCCCGCGGCAGCTGCTGCAAGCCAGGCAGCGCCAGCGGCGGTAGCAGCTACGTCGCCAGGCGCGCGTCCCGCGGCAGGACCCCCGTCAGTGCCATCTCTGGCGGCAGGCAAGGCCGCGCCGCCGCGGGGGTGAGCCCAGTGCCCGCGAAGGCGACGTGCCTCGCTGAGCCCTGGCGCGGGCAGTCCCAGAAGCGGTGCTTGGAGCCCCCCAGTGGCGCGCCGCAGTGCGGGCAGTTCGCCGGGCGGCCCCACTTCGAGGCCACGCTCGTTGTGACCACGTTGCCAGACAACACCGTGCGCAACGTGCCCGCGGCGTCAGCGGCGAGCCGCCCGTGCTGCAGGGCGCGCTGGGTGGCCCAGCGATCGATACTGGCAGCCACATGCCCGAAAGCGGCCCGGCGCCCCGCCAGCTCCCGAGCCTCCATGCGAGCCCGAGCCTCCAGCAGCACGCTTCTCGTCGTCTGCAGGCCGCGCTCCGCCAGTCGCCAGCCAGCCAGCGCCTCCGGCACGCCTGCCCACGCTTCAACGTCGGCCCCCAGCTAGAGTTCGGCCACGCTCCTGGCTGCCGCCGCCACTGGCCCGATGCCGCGGCCGTGCCTGGCTGCCGTGGCCCCCGCGATCTCCCGCCAAAGAGGAAACGGCCCCGACGCGCGGTTTTGGCTGCCTGTCAGAGCGGCCCATGGTTACGACGGCCAGCGGGTCAAGCCGCCAATTCCGGCTCAGGAAACCGAAGACGATCTCCGCAGAAGCCAACAGCCCGCCTCGGCAAGCCGCGCGCCGCGCAGCCGAGCGCAGGGCAGCGCGTTCCCTCGCAGGGTGGCGCCCGCGCGCCGCCCCCTACAGGCTGGCCGCGGTGCTGGCCGCGGCCCCCAGAAGGCAGCGATGGCCGAGCGCCGTTGGCAAGCGGCCGATCCCGGCGAACGAAGCGCGGACCCGGGCCGCCTAAACCGCGCACCGTTTGGCTGGGCTGGCGCCTGCCGCGACTCCCAAATCGCGGAGCCGCAGTCGCGCTGCAGCAGAGGGGGTCTGCCGGTCCGCCACCGCCGGAGCGCCCCGAACTGTTGAATTGCCCCTGGGCGCGCGCCGTCGCCGCGCGGGCTCCATCCACGGCGTCGGCGAAGGCTACTCGCAACCAAAGGGCGAAGTCGTCGCTCACCTGCCGGCGCATGCGGCTGTCGACCCGACTGACCTTGCAGCCCCACGGCCGGGTCAAGACGCCCAGGATGAACACTGCGAGCGGGCAGCGGGCAACCCGGAAGCAGCCCGCAAGAGGCCCGCGCGGAGGCGGCGTCGCACCCAGCATGTCCTCATCGTTGGTTCGACTATCCAGGCCGGCACGCCGGCGCGCGCAAAGATATCCAGAGGGGCGCCACGTCATAAGCCTTCGCCGATCAAGCGTGGCCTCTGCCACGCAGTCGGACGGCGCCTCGGTGGCCTCAAACTCGAGGGCCAATTCCCGCGCCAGTTCCTCACCCCCCTGCCGCGCGTCCTCGCCGGCCCACCGTGGCCGCAGGCGGGCAAACACCTGCGCTCTGCCTACGGACCGCAATCGGTAGAGGATGGGGAGGCTCGAGCCACATCGGCCGGCGGTCCAAGGGTCCAAGGGGCTCTCCGTGCTGCCCCCGGGCTGGGGCAGCAGCAGCAGCAGCGGCGGCGACCCCTCGGGCTCCGCGAGCTCGCTCAGCCGCGCCACCTAATTCGGCAATCCAGCTGACACCTCTGGGGGGAGTCGGAGATCATTGATTTTCCGAGCGCCGAGGCTTGGGTTTTTCTTCTTCGGCATCTTACCGAACAGCGCTTCAACGGCGGCTGCCGTCCGCGGCGCTCGGTCCGGAAGGGAGGGAGA